TGTGTGCAGCGGTATGTATGTACATAAATACAAAACATGGTTGGGCTATGCATGTCTATTAAACATAATATAAGGTAAGGAACAGGGTCGTAGAGCAGGGTGGAGACGGTCAGGGTTGAACCACCACTCCCGATCCCTGCTGGCCAGTGACAGTCTCCTTCGACCTCGGTCTTCATAATGGACGTGAAGCCGACACCACCATTCCTTCGAGTGAGCTCGCTCCCGAGTTTTAGCAAGCTTTACAGGTGCGTTCTCCAGCATAACGTTGAGAAAATACTTCAAGTGACGTAATGACAATAATAAATGCAGCTGAGGACGGAGAGTTACCCAAAGCTATCCACGTCCTCACTCACAACAGCGTTGTCGTTCGATAACGCCGTAAGACAGAAATTCTTCCGAACATATCCAATGGTCAGTAAGTGGCACACATCACAGCAGCTGGTCATTGACTCTTTAGAAAAAAAAAAGATTGCTCGAGCCTTGCTGGAGCTCACTGCGGTACGGAACCGAAAAAAAGGCGATGTTCCAAAAGAGCAGCATTGGGTAGTACACGCATAGATACCCGTTGTGCCGCGGCCCTATTGTGCTATCACTATGCCGATGGGTCGAAGATACCGTCATCGCCAGAGCGACTATGCAAACTGTTATTCGACAGTGGTAAGGCACTTACGCAATCTTGCCTTATGTGACCGCAGGAGCGAATGCCTATTTTTGTTACTTGTGACGTTATTTCGCTGGGTCACTAGACATATCATGGCAAAGCCTGAGATATTGCGCAACCGGATTGCACACGCCTTTCCGAGACAAATTCTGCACACGCACTTATGAGCAAGCGGTACGCCTGTTTGCGATGTTAACATGACTTCCGGGCTGTTTCGATGGTTCAGTGGGAGACTGTCTATGATGCGACTTATATTGAATTGTTCATTACAGACAACAGTAATGTTCCGAGGGTAGAGTGGTAGATTGGTCCATGATGCGACTAGCATTAAATTATCTTATCAAACAACATTTGTAAATAACAACATTTATTAACAACTCTTGTGTCATAGAACCTGAAAGCAAAGATTGGTATCAAGTTCATCATAACTTACAACTTATACAATTTACTTTCTACATTAGTCAACGTTATGTCTGGTTAGCCTCGTCTGAGTTATAGAATTGGGTTATTCAAAATTGATGTGCGAGTATTGATTAAGAGTGGCTGGAAGTGCGAGTCGGTGGTCCTTGATTAGTGGTATCGATTGGTGGCCTTGGCCAGTGGTGGAACCACTGGCTGTACCTTATTGATTGCCTTGTGCTTGTTGTGGTTTGTCTGGTTTGTTACTGGCGTTGCCGCCTTAGGTTATTGGTGCGACCGTAGTCGCTTGTTGGAGACCGCTGAGGCTGAGACTGGAGGCCGGAGACTGGCGGTGGCGACTGCGAATACTGGAGAGAACTGCCCTGAGTCTCCGACTGCGGTGTTTACACCCCCAGAAATGGGTGGTATTTGTACCGGGACCAGTAGGCGGACCGACGGATGGCCGTTTGAAATGGACTGCCAATGCGACAGGCGGCAATTTGAACGCTGGTTTTAGGTTACTTGATCGATATGATAACGTCCAAGAATCCACCTTGAGATCTTCGTCGCATCATGACGAAACGTCATGACAAGTAATGAACACTAAACAACTGTGAACATCACTTATATCACAGCTTATATTTAGCAATTACTGACATTTCCCATATTGAACAACTGTTAACCTAAATATGAATGTATCAGATTATGAGTTCATGACGCCTAAATCTCAATGGTATAGCGTGATTTAGGTAGAATACAGAACAGGGTTCGACTTTACATCGTTATTGCTTATCAAGGATAGAAGAGAGGTATGGGTGAGAAAGGGGGATTGGGAAGTGAGTGTCGGCTGACGATTGACGACCAACGGACGTGCCCGTCGGTTGGTGACCTCTCCTAAAGTACTGTTCTCCGCATGAGGCACATCCGATGGCAATCGCTCAGATACCGTAATCCTGAGCACGTCTTTCCATCGAAGCCACGGACCCGACAGCTCCGTTCCTTACAGTAAGCTCGTCCTCGAGCTCTGAGCATCTTTCCATTCCAGTATCCTCCTAGTTAACTCAGATATGGAGAACATGTTGAACTACTAGTGTGACAAGGTACAATAAATGCAGGTGAGGTCGGAGAGGCATCTGGTGATGACCACGTCCTCACTCACAGCAGCGTTGTCGTTCAACAGCACTGGAAGATACATATTCTTCAGCGGCAATAAGCATAAGTTCTACAATAATGTATGTAATTCTCTGAGAAAACACACAAATGATTTAGAAAGCGGTGTTTAACCTTTCTTATGTTACAACTCAGACAGTTCAATCTTACTTTGGTTAGCAGTATGTTTGGTTAGCCTGGCTTTTGGATTCACATTGTGCTATTATGTGCTGGTTTGTGACATAGGATGTTGGCTGAATAATTACTGGAGTTATTGGTCGGTGGGCCTTGGCTGGTGGTAATGAATGGTGGCTTTGGCCAGTGGTGGATCTACTGGCTCTGCCTTATTGGTCGTGCATTGTGCCTGTTGGGTTATTTACATGGATACCGAGCTTTATCAAAAGTATGAGAGTGCTACTTCGCATTTTTGAGTCGACTATATGGCGAACGAATCCTTTTAAAACACATAACGGCATTACGTAAGCTCGATGGAATAGATGGTTTCCCCAGGAACTTGAATACTGTTGTAATAATTTTAGTGATTATCTATGTTGCTGTAGTTGTTACAGATTTAGAAAAGATCGAGCCGAGGTCTGTCTCTCGAATCCAACTGAAGGTAACCAGTGGAGCGATTCTAGCACAATGAAACGGTAGTTACCGCAGAAATTTCATGAACGCAGCGGACCTACAGAAAGACGCTGTTGCGATGTTGTCTGTATGTTGAAAGTTGAAGCAAGCCTTATGTATGGGACTTCTTGGCTATCGGTGGTGTTCGGGGGAATAGAGTGGTAGAATGTTTATTGTGTTACTTGGATTCTGGGCGTGCCTCTCGGTCTCAAACGAGGCCGCGCCTATGGTGTCATTTGAGTGGCATTTATGTGCTCAAGGAGTTTGTGAGGTGGTGGAACGAGTGGTTAGGTGAGATTAGATAGGGAGGTTCTGGTGACATGCCAGAACAGAATCGAACCCGGGCCGCCCGCGTGGCAGGCGAGCATTCTACCACTGAACCACCGATGCGCCAGAAAATGTGTAGGACTTCTTGGCTATCGGTGGTGTTCGGGGGAATACAGTGGTAGAATGTTTATTGTGTTACTTGGATTCTGGGCGTGCCTCTCGGTCTCAAACGAGGCCGCGCCTATGGTATCATTTGAGTGGCATTTATGTGCTCAAGGAGTTTGTGAGGTGGTGGAACGAGTGGTTAGGTGAGATTAGATAGGGAGGTTCTGGTGACATGCCAGAACACCTTAGACCGTGAACTGAAGGTCAAGCTTGCGTTCCAGCAATCAGCTGAGGTACGGAAAACTAAAGGAGCTCTTAGAGAATGAGGAACTCCCTCTTCCACGCGTGATTTCAGACTCCTCTTAGGCAAAATAATGATCTTCACTAATGACTGCACTAATTTCGTCATTCTGTGAAACATGGTCAATTGAGTAGCCTTGAAATTGTATCTTGTCGCGAGGACTTTACATATTTGACTGACATTACAGCTGGTTCACCGCCTACTGCAGCGAGAATTGAAGAGTGTTTTTTATTCACTTCAGTCTGATTAAAAGAGAAGAGAGAAAAAGCGTCCTTTTTCCTTAAATTTTTTTTCCAGATCCGGAGATTATAATTTATGAGCTCCGATCTCCAAGAAGGAGAGCACTTTCTTGAATCCTACCGCTCACTTA